ATCCAGCCATTGTTTCCCACAGCATTGTTGTTTTTCAGTATTTTGCCTTTTAATCTATATATATACACATATATATAGGCCTATATATATATATCTACACAGTATATACATATTTCCTTCTCTATTTTCACTTTTTGCTTAACAAGTTTGTTATAAACTGAGATCTATCCATCGTTTCCCATAGCATTGTTGTTTTTCAGTATTGTGCCTTTTGATTATACATATATACAATTACGAAGAAAGACTTTATAAAGAAAGCAACTATAATAATGGTCTATAATAATAATTACACAATCATTTTTATTGTTGATATTATTATTATTATTATTATTAGTTATATTTTGTTATTACCAGTACCAGTAACATTCTTATTATTTTACAGCCTATTAATTGGAAATTGTCACATTATGATTTGACGTTTGAACATTATTTTATAGTCAGCTTGGATGGGTATAAATGTTTTTATTTAAGATTCCATTCCAAATTTAAAATCCATAAATTCATTTGTAAATGTTAACTAATCCATCTGTTACTGTTGTCAAGATTATCGCGGTGTTAAATGAAGCAATAGTTTTGTTAAATTACTGATACGCCTATACTTAACTAAACGTATTCCAGGGGAGGCAGCTGCGAGTATTTGAACAACGATTAACCAAATGTAAAATAAAACCGGCTTTTCAAAAGGATTTAGTTCAGTGTGAATAGAATGTATTAGAATACTTAATAGACATGTGGAATTTTAAATACTAACTCGATCAATTTCTACAACTCTGTATTCCCACAGGGAAGCCCTATCTAAACTCTGCCCTTAGTCGGGTTTCTAAGCGAGTTAGTTTGGTACGTAATTGCGTAGCCATAGCCGATGGCTACCTTGTAATGATTGAACGAATACTTCTAAAATCAATTTCATTCGTTGGATTGAATTCCACACTGATTAGTTCCATAGCCAGACATTACTTTATACTTCTTTAAATGAAACAGCTAGTAAGTCACATCACATCCATTAAACAGGCCTGCTATACTATATCTACATCAACCTGTTTTAAGTTCATGCTATAATTATAGGTGTGGTCAGGACTACTCGTACCTACCTGAACATTTTAAATAATATTATATTAATTTACGTCATAACATTATTATATAGTGTTTAAAATTTACAATTACATTGTTTAGTAGCTCTCTATTTGAATGAATATAATAATAAAATTATTATTGTTTGTAAATAGAGTATATAATTTGTTGAAATCTGTGAATTCCATAGGTTCTATATGACCAAAAGTAATGGATGACAACTACACTGCATGAAAGACGACGACAAAATACAGTACTGCAAGGAGGAGGGTGACAACAGTCACTGTGGTGATAAGGGCGCTGGAATCTGGTACAAGTTGCAGATGTATAATGCCGGTGTACCAACTACTGTGAAGGACAATTATAAATAAATTTAGGAAATTTAATAATTAAGGTTGTCAGAAAATATCTCCAAATTTGTTAGTCAATTTATAATCGCCTACACATTTTACAGAAAAAGGCTTCCAAGATATTTTTGTAATGTACAGTATCTCACCTCATCACCACATTTATTTTTAACATAAAAACTGAATAGGCCTATATTTGATCTCTATTTAAAAAACACACGGCAATTTTTATGTACCAAATGTTTTTAATGTACTGTTTTTATTGTTTGTTGATGAATTGAATTAAAAAAAAAACATTTAATTGCAAACCATAGCAGTTAAAATCACAAAATAAAGTAATATAATAATAATAATAATAATAATAATAATAATAATAATAATAATTATTATTATTATTATCTGTTTCAATCTGCAATCTACAGTTATAAGTCATAAGTATTTATTAAAAAAATAAATAAAAATAATGTAAATCAGTAAAGGTTAAGTTCGTTAGTTTTGTTTTTAAGTATATATCTCTATGCTTTTTTTTTTTTTTTTTATAGATTTGTTCATTCTTAAAGTTTTTGCTTGTTTTGAATACACTTTTTCCATTTATCGTTGTATATTAATACCTAATTATTTTACAATTTGTATTGTCTTGAATTTTGATAAGTGGAAATCAAATTATTTGAAATTTGAAAAAAAAAATAGTTGTCAAAATAATGCCAAAATGTGTAATAAAATAAATTTAATGATTATATGTCAATATTTAATTTACTTTATTTTATAACTTAACATCCAATACTCATAAGGGTTAGTGCTGCTAGGAAATTTATGAAACATAGGCCACGTTATCCCAACTGTTCTCTGGTTATCCAAACAATGTATACGATGAACCTGTTTTTTTAGAAGGGGTGGTCTTCATTATCTAGAATGTCTGATTCCCAAACTGAGTGCGAATCTCCTGTCTCCGGTTTCAAATGTTAAGCAAGTTTAATAAAGCAGCGGCGTAAGTTCGTTCACTGTTTAAACAACGCTTTTTGTGAAGTGACACATCCTTACAGATTTCGGTACACAACCCGAAAGCTTAGATACTTGCACGATGCTGTTGAATTAATTTCTGTTTGAGAAACAATCAGTCGAATATATTGTTTCCATTGTGCCAAAATTAAGCGGTATTGTGTTAACTTATTAACTACAGAAACTGAAATATTATCGGCGGCTTAAAAGATGGAAAAGGCAAAGATCGTCGTGTTATTGATTTTAATGAATTTTAAATTCTGCTGAAGGTTTTGTCTGCGTATCTTGCCCATCAAAATGATTTTTCAACAATACAGTCCAAATCTTCTTCATAATGTCATTTTAGAAAATTCCAAGCCACGTAGAAAAGCTTTAGCCATTATAATTTTTAAGATTAATTAAAAAGATTAAAATTAATTAATTACATGATAATTTGGTAGCAATTAATAATAAAGAAATACAATATTAAATTGACGATAGAACCAACATTATTGGAATGAAAAACAATCAATGGACAAAAGCGATTAACAGAATGGACACAAATTATATGCGTACACGGGTCAACATAATTAGAAAAAAAAAGATGAAGGGACGAAATTGTCAAATTGATTTGATGCAAGTTGAAAACCTATAGGTAAATATTGTATAGTTACCATACTGTACATATTTTTGTGGCAATATGAATTATATGTATGTGGCTATAACAACAATTAAATGACATGGATAATATTATTACTATAAAATACACAAATATGGGGAAATTAGTAATAATAACATGTGCTTGTCATCATGTAATGATGACGTAAAATAATTGAAATAATGAAATACTTCTTTCAATGTATCGTTTATTTCCACTACATTTCAGACAGCTACAGAACGTCAATTTAACGAAATTGCATGTTTTTTACATATATATAATTATATATAGGCCTATATAAAATCTTATAGG